TCTTTGTCTTGAAGCATTGTCTTTGCAGAGGACCAGTTTCCAGAACCTTTGTGAGACACGACAGAGGTTCTGTCACTTGAGACTTGTACGCTTGAGCATCTTCTGTTGTTGGTCCTCTGTGGTCTTCTGTGACAGATCATCTTCTGTCAACACTTGCAGTATTACTTTTTCCATACTATTACATTTAATGAAATGAGAGCTAACAGCTTTCAATGTGACATCCGTCATTTTCGGAGCATCAGGTTAGTATCTTTATAGGATTCCTATATTTAGAATTTTTATTTACTAGGGTCTAGTCTTATTGATTAGAAAATCAATCGACTAAGCTCCCAAATTATTGTTCAGAAAACCTTGCCACAACGGGTAACTGATAAAGTAACCTATGTAATGCCAAATGTATTTAAAATTCTCTTAAAATAAATAAAGTCGATATTATAAAATTCAAATTTATAAATATAAAAGTTTCAACTGTATGTACAAATGTTTTTTTTACGAAATTTGGAATTTTGATTTAATAATGAATAATTTTATCGGTATTTGATAAAATGTATTTAATTCATATTTAGTTGGGCTGTATTTGTATAAGAAAAATAAAAATAAAAATAAGGTGGTTTGGGCCTTGAATGGGCCTGCCCCTTTAATCTCATATAAAAACCCCACTCCTTTTGAAAATCTTTCACTTCACTTTCATTTGGTATCACACCCTCTCTCTCTCTAAACCATTCGACTTCCTCACAGCCGAATCCAATTTCCAAAATCTTCTTAGATTCTTTAAATCTTGAAGAACATTCAAACCTTCAAAAGATAGCAAGAAAAAGGTAATAAGATTAGTTTTATTATCTTTGTATTTTACCATTTACGTTCTTCATTTCTTTTATATTTCTTCTTCGCTGTGAGCTCAAAGATTTTCTGGAAAATCTAAGATGAGAGATTATTCATCAAAGACATGAAAATGTCTCAAAATGATGATAATCTATGATCTACGAACTTAGAAGTCAAGAAAATGGGATAAAACCACATAGCATGTAGTATTTAACCAATTAAAATGACATTTTGAAACTGACAGGTTGCTTCTAACAATCATGTCGACTGTATTCTTTAATATCAACCTAAAATATTTGATTTCTTTTGAAGTTTTCTTTGATTAGTTGTTGTTTTACTATTTCGGATCTCACTCAAAAATATTGAGTGTTGAGCATTTAAATGTTTAATATAAAACTTTAGGAGCAAAAATAATGTTGTTGGACAAAAGATGTCTAACAACAGTGACTTTTGTGGTTATAAAA